AGTCAATACAAACATGAAAACCTCATTTTTCTATCAGGTAATCACCTTAGACCTTTCCCTTTATCTTCTTCTATATCTAAACTTTTCTTGTTGTTTTTTATGACCCCTGGTAGGAGTCATTTTGCACCTTAGCCTCATTTTATAATCATTTACTTCATTACACCTTTACACTCCTCCTTAGCCCCCTTTTTTTTTTTTTTTTTCACCACTCTTTCTTTAGAATTCCTTTCTGATTTCAAGATCTGTGAAGATAAATCATTGGAAAAACAACAATACTTTATTATGCCTTCATCTTCACAAAACTCCACAGTTCTTTTACCATCCTTTACTCATCATATTATCTTTCCAAAAGCACTACTAGTTCTCTAAACTTGTGAAGTTGGACAATCTTTCTACTGACATCCATAGCCTTATTCTCCTTTTCTCACTTCTTCCTCCTCTTCAAACAGTGCATGCTACCACCTCACAATCACTTTCTCACCAATTATCTTCTGACATCCTTAGCCCATTCTTCCTTAGCCATAATAAAATATAAGCTGACAGCTGCCTTAACTTTTTAAACATGTAGGGATAACATTGTCAATCAGAGGAAACTGTGAAGCCTTCTCTATGTCCCAACATTACTTTTTCATCTGTCAGGGAAATTAAAATCCTCCATTATTTCAATTTCTTGGGTTTGGGGCTTTTCTGTCAAAAATGCACTTTCAAAAAAAGTCTTCCTCAGGGCATGTATTTTGTGCATTTCCATGCAGCTCTTCAACAAGTTTGACCTTCACCTCTCCTTATCTTCAGAGCAAGTATGCATAGTTTGGACATGCAACACTACATTCAGTCCTCTCTTCATTCCTATCTGTCCTTCACGAAAAATTATCTCCTATCTCAAACATTAGCCCTCTGCTTTGCCTTATAACTTTCAGTTAAACTTCTGAATAGTGATGCAAGTTTGTTGAAAAAGAAGTTAAAGGAAGGATGTGATAATGGTGAAACAGCTCCTTTGAGTTATAAGTCAGATTTAGTACCCTTTCCATTTCCATGAAGAGTAGTTGATTGCTTTGTGTCCGTTACTGATTTACACGTAAAAATAACAAGTGTTTATAAACTTGGAATTAGAATAAAATATATTGATATGAGGGAATAAAATACTGTGTTTAATTTGAATTTTTTTTTTTGTTTTGCTTAACAATTTCTTTTATCTTTTCTATCCCCTTGGAATGGAGAAAATGTCAAAACCATGAAATGTCCTACAAAAAATGAAACATGGTTTCTGTAGTGCTATTTATACACCCAGACCTACTGCTGCTGATAATAAAAAAGGAGATACAGACTCCTAGGGCATTGCTCCTAGTACAACCACATACAAATTCAGTTTCAAGTATTGCTCTCGTGCCTCTCCCACAGACATATGCCCTGGGCAATGCACAGCATTTCCTCTGAACAGTCAGAAAAAGAGAAGGGAAGAATGAAAAATGTGAGGAGGAACCGACAGAGATGCTTGATGTCAGGCATCAGAGAGAAAGATATGTAGGAGCAAAATAAAATTAAGAAAGAAAAAGAGGAAAAAAGACAGGACATAAATGCCAAGATAGGGGAGCATCTACAACTGTACCAGTCATGCCACAAGAAGAAATAGCACACATCTATCAAAGCTGGTAGGTCACTTCATCAACACTTAAAGGCATAAACAGCAAAGGTACAATAAGAACACCAGTTATGTTTTAACAGATCTTCTTTAGGGTCAGAATTGCTGGTCACTGGCAACTCCCAAACCAGTCAATGGCAAAATGTTTTGGACTATTCTGGAGACAAAGCTAAGCACGGACTAGTCATTGTTCTGAAGAGTTTTTTGCTTTTGCATTGATTTAGAAAGAAATGACAAATATTCTTGATTTTAAAAAAGCTCTTTGGTATGTTTAACCCAGAATTCAAGTAGAATCACTACCCAAACAAATGCAAGGAATGATTTAGTATTTCTAGATGAATAAAAGTGAAGATGATGACATATAAATCTAAAAGTGGGAGGGTGGTTAGAAATATATTTCTTCTTTTCCCCTCAAATCTCCACTACCGTTGACAGCTCTGCAAGTTTGAAACATAAAATGTCTGAAATAAGAAAATTAGGCATACAAATATTTTTTTGAAAACAGTAAGGTTTTTATGACTTTGGCTTCAAAGAGGACATAAGAGGGCATGATACTGCCTGCAAAGACCCATCCCTGTATACTCTCTTATCCTGAAAGACTTGCCATGTAATGTTTCAGCCTTCCAACCCCATACAATGAATCCAACTCCCAATTCACTAGACTTTTTCTGAAGATAACTCAGTCCTTTTGCACCAGCGATGGCATCCAAACAGAACAGATACCTCAGCATAGACACTGGGTTATTGGAAGCTAGCAAATGCAGGATCTTGACAGTACAGCTCTGTAATTTGAGACCAACTCTTATATTCCACAATTGTTCATTTGCTGTGTAATAAGCTCACCAGCCATACAGTTTTAAGTTAGCTCACACAAGCATGGTGGTGTTGCCTACCTAGCAAAATTAAAGTGATAAAGTATGTTCAAACTCCAAAACCTAACTCCTATCCTGCTGTATGGGACAAAAGCATAAGGGAAAAAAACCCAAAGAAATGTTTCCTGGATTATCAGTAAAGAGAAAGTGAAATAGATTTAATTCAAGTAAGACATTAATAAAATCTCTTATTAAAATAGTACCATGTTATATAGCCATTCTTACTATAGCAAGACATGTCCAAGGTTCAGATCCTTATTGGCTTGACGAGAGGTGAGAGGCAGGGAAGACTGTCATAATGTTCTCAAGATCAGTAGACCTCAGTAGTTCAATCTGTACCAGGCCCTTAAATGGTTCCCTGAGGTGAGAAAGACCTAAAGAGCCTCTTTACAATCCAACGTTCTTCATACAAGGAACCTCAATGGAAATAATTGTCACTGTGTTCTCTTCCTACTACTGTCCCTTCAGGTCTGTCAGACCTACACCTCTCTTTCCTTGCAGTGGGATCATTAGGTCACACAGACCACAGGGTGAACAGAAAAGTGCAGGATCCTCAATCTGCCTGGGAGCTAAAAAGGACTGACTAAATATTTGGTCCACTGAGAGAATGGACTACATCTGGCTGGCTACTCATGTGGCATTACATCAAAAAAAGCTGATATGATCATTGGGAACTAAAAGCCAATTCCATTATACTAATCACAGCACCAATCAACATCCAGTCAAGGAATAAAATATTTTCCATCCAGCACCCATGCACCGACACCAACTGGAAACCCGTACATGGAAAGCATGATCAGTCTGTCCTCTTGCTAGCACGAGGGTATGCACACTATTAAATAAGAAGCAAGTCCTAAGGAACCTTCATCTTTCTACAGATATATTCATGTGGATGCTTAATGTATCTCCTTTTCCAAGTAGCTTCAAGCAAAAGAAGACCAACACTTTTCTGTTAAACAAAGGATAATCAAGACATTTCTGCCTCTTTTTGCCAGAAAAGAGTTCTCCAAAGTTTAATAAAGTTGAAAAGTTTATGTAATTGTCTTAGTTTAGTTGCATTTTGAGATATTTATAAGTATGTGCACTAATATTTTTCACTAAAAAGTTATAATTTAGATTTACATTTTGCTATCATAGCTTCCCTACCCAGTCTCTAGCCATAAAGGAATAAAAACAAAAGTTCACAAAATAAAAGCAGAATTGACACCCTGTGTAATGTGTTTGTCTATGTGTATGTATGCACATATTTGTGTATAAGTGTTGAAGGTTTTTATTTGTAGTGTTACAGATTCAGGCTTCGTGAAGTGAGTTTTAATATCTGAACAGTAACAGCAGCAATAACAAATTCACAAACACTCCTCTATAAATGTTTGGAGAAATAGGCACTGTATTATCTCTATGTGAATATAAACACTGACTCTCTGGGCATCTTGATGATATTTTGTAGTGGGTCATTACTGCAGCTGACAAATCAGGAGGTACTTAAATGTAACAAGGTCTAGAAAGAATTTATAAAGCCTTTATAAGCAAAGATTTAACTCACTTTCCCTAACCCCTATTTAATTACAGAGCCTTTCTAATGCCACACAATACAATTTATAGTTACTATTAAAAGTAGCCTAACCAAAATTATTAGCTAGGTGCAAGAAAGGAATGAGAAATTAAAAAAGGAATTGGTTATTAAATTAGAGGCTATGCATTTATAATATAAAAATAAAACTGTGAACACAGTTCTTTTTAACTTAGATATTTTACTATCTTTTAACAAATCATTATTAAGCCAGAAATACATAAACCAGTGCCATTTATCTTGAACAATCAGTAATTTATAAATTATTATATATGCTACAACATTTCAAGCTTTCAATTGCTTTTTAAATACAAGTCTGCACTGATTCCTATTAGGACATTGTGGTACTAAGGTAAAATGAATAATCATAGTAGCAGGACAGGATACCATTTGCTGCAGAGAGGAAATACCACATTTTAAATCTATGCTATCCTGGATCTTGGCCAAAACATCAATGCAATTTTGCCCTAGAGAGAACTCGTGTATCATATAAACGCATGTTCAAACGAGCTAAGCCTGCACCTAGCGTCAGCACTCCTTCCTCTCCTGGCATCTGAGTGCAGGCTTTCACATCAGTGAAGGGTGAAATTCTAGCAGATGTAAATGCATGTATTTGAGGTTTCTTTTGAGATATTCTCTGCTTCCTAAATAGCTCATGAAGTAGGGTCAACATAAAGGTAAAAATAAAGTCTCCCAGCTGCTATGAGGTATATTGGATGCTTTATTTTGACCTTTGGTATTCAACCTATGCTAATTCAACTGAGACAGACAAGCAACGACACCACTGAGTTTGCATCTTGTACCATTCAAAAAGCAAAAATTCCAAGTGTATGCTTAGTTTGGTGTGTCAAAGCATATGAAACAAAAGATAGTGTTGAGGGAATGTATCAAGTTATGTTGTCTCTTTTGACTTTCTTACCTCATTTACATAGACCCAGTGACTATCCTTTGATGCAAGGTTGGTTTCCACAGCCTACAAAAATAAAAAGAAATATAAGAATAAAAATAAATAAAACATGTGAAACATATTCCAGAAAGAATTTACATAAAAAGGTACTATAAAGCTCATTTTGATTGCTTTCACTGCTATTGGTGGTGTTTCAGTACAGTTCTTTTAATCTCTTCCACCGCTGCTTCATGGAACAGTATCTTATCAGTGGTAGTCACATTTCTCTGACTTCAGCATCTAAACCGAAGTACACTGCACCATGAAGATATTCCCTAGATGTACCATAAAACCATACTGGAGCATGGTGGTACATCAACATAGTAAGGGATCCTATGATGAACAACTGCACACAGCACATGTAGTTCATAAGATTTAACTTCTGTATGATATATCTAATGCATCCTAGTAGGTTAGTTTCTTTTCAATATGCCTCCCAAAATATACTGCCTCTGCCTCATTACAACTCTGACAGTTTAACTGTTAGTTAACCTATTTATTGAAAACCACCACTCTGAGACACTCAGGTGAAGTTCATATGGGTCATCCTCTCTTCATATTTACATAAGACCCGAGAGAAAGTTACAATTTGCATGGACACTTTTTCTGGCTTCCTGGTGTGGACTTGGATAATCACTAGATATAAAGAAACAGCCCATCTCATCAGACAGCATATTTATCCATAAACATATAACCCTCATGGTTTACTAAGATGCTAAAACTGGGAAAGACTGCTAGCACAAACAGCACTGTTAGTACTGAGGACCTCAGTGGAAGGATTTGGCAATATATTTTTAGAAGTTTCTAACTGCTTCCTTTAATTGAAATGGATAAACTCACTTCAAGATATGTTATAGTCTAATAATGCAGTATCAAGCATCAAGAGGTGTACAGTACAGTGATAACAATATTGCTAATATCCTGCTTAATGCACAGTTCAACAACTATTGTGGATTCATCTCACCTAATAAAACAGGACAGTCCCAGCACACACATGTATTTCAGGAGGCAGTTCATTACACAAAGTTTTGAATGCCTCTGTCTTCAAGCACCTCCTTCTTCTGTGCCAGTATGACCCCATTTATTGAACAGCTATTCTTATTGCTATGTTAAAAATGGCCCTATGGATGACTGAAATAAACCTGGTTAAAAAAGCAAATAGAGATTGAACAAAATACTTCTAGTTACTGTTTTTTAACCTGGATAATTTCCGCACCCTGTTCATTGTGTGTGTCCTCAAAAACAATTGTACTGGTATAGAGAGGGCTCTGTAGACTGCAGCACTGAGCTGGGCAGGAACATCATCAGCCACCTTCCCCTCTAGAACACATTGCATAATAAGCCTCTTGGATATTTAGCATCAGATGGGATGAATCACCTTCTCTCATGACACTGACTACAGATGACTGGCTCAGAATAAACGCCCACGACTTATAAGGCTGCAGTGAAATGACAAGATATCCATCTTTAATACAGGCAAAGGGAGTACTGTTACCTGATCCTAGGAAAAAACAACCCAAAAACTGGTAAAGTAGCCAACACCAACATTTTTAACATTACTCTTAGTTTATACTGTGTTAAAAAAAAAAAAAAAAAAAGTATAAATTACTTGCCTAAGTAACTGTGCTTTAAAACTTTACTCATTTGTGCAGCCTACACAAATCTAAGAGAAAATTGTGGGCAACACACATACCTCAATCTATTTCTCCTGTCCACAAGGTGAAGCACTCCTTTAAAGAGACAAAAATTCCAGAAGAGAAACCGCAAAGAAGTCGAAAGAGAAAAATCAACACAGACAAGGCACAGTATTTCTCATCATCTTCATAAACAGCATTATGGGAAATTAACTATCCCTGGTGTCAAAGCAGATGAGAACCTCTAGAGACAACAGTTCTGACAAGGTAATCCTCTCCTAAGCATGCAGGGAAAAATTGTCTCCCTTGGTAATTGTCTCCCTTGCATTTCTTTTAAGCCAGCAAGTAAATTAAACTGACCACCTAATTGGGGAATCTCAGCTATTAGGAAAGCTAGTAGTAATGATAGTGAGGGCAAAAACTTGTAGATTTTCTCCCTATTCACCCCCCTCTCATATTCAGACAAAGCCAAAATAGCCAGGTGCTGTAACATATAGAGGAAAAGCAAAGCGCTGCCAACATTAGCAAAGCAGAACTAAATAATGCTCAGGTGCAGAGTTATTGCATTGGCTACATTTTGTGATTTATCTGCAACAGTGAGCAATTTGTATGAATAAATGCTCAGTCTGGGGAGCCGCAAGAGCCAGGGAATTTGAAATGAATTATTGTAACTCATTCTTCTGGGTTCCCATATCTGGGCCAAAGTTTTTAAAATGAGGTGCCTAAATTTAGGTTGCTAAGAGTTTATCTTTAGTCATCAGAGTGCTAGACCATTCAGCACTTCCTACAGAAGTCAATGGCTCTGCACTCTAATGTATTTAGAAACATAACCATAGGTAGGCAAGTTTAAATATCTATAAATATCTTCTGTTTACAGCAACAACACATAGCATGAAGCTTTATTCAAAACTCAGACATGCTCAGAGGAAACAGAAACTTCTTGCATTTTGTGCTTCAGATTTTGAACCATATTTACAGACTTGCTGTCCTAAGGAATCCTAAAATGAACTACTGAAAGACACATCTTGGAGATTTCAACCTCCTGATAGCACTGGTGTATTGGAAGTATATTGCTAGAGGTTTATGGAAGTTAATCAGCATGAAGAGCAAGGTCCTGGAGACCTATGATATCACAGAATTCTTGGAATAAGAAAGAAATTACATGTTTGTAACTTATAGAGCTTCTTTTTCTTTAAAGAGGAAAACGTATCATCACTTGGGAGATTATGGTCACCTATTTTTAATTAGTTTTTAATTATTCAAGCTGTTCAAGCTCTTGCCATTTGCTTAAGCTTGTGCCCCCATCCATTCAAAAAGAAAAAAAATTGTCTATGAAACATCCTGAAGGATCCAATACAGCCTATTTCATAAATGCACCCTATATTAAAGCAAGTAGGCGAGGAATTTGTGTGATCACTGTGGCTGAGGAAAAGCTCTGCCATCTATTGGGGCAGGATTCATGTGCTAAAATATGTTATTTTTTTTTTTTGTGGAAAAATTATTAATATAGTTGCAAAATATCCTAGTTCTTTATATACTCTGTAGGTACACAGTGTCTCATTGACACTTGGGAATAATACCTTACATTTCTATCAAATAGAAAATCTGCTTTTGAGATAAACAGTGAACTAGAAATTAAAGAGCATCCATCTTTCCTTTATTTTCACTTAGACTAGCAAATAGCTTCTACAAATTTGGAAAAAAAAGAGAGTTTTTTGAGACTGTATGCTCTTCCTCTTCACCAACTATATTTCAGCAGTTGATTGTTAAAATACAATACCCAAACAAGAGAATTATAATTCCCTCAGTGGACCACTATTAATGGCAACATATAAATGATATTACCACTATCAGGCCACACTATGAAGCAGGGAAAGGGAGCAGTCAATATAGAAAACTGTTTATAATTTCTCAGTGAAAAATATTTGCAATAGAAATGAAATAGGAAGACACTGAAAATCAAAATACAAGCATTAAGATTTCAGATCTCATACCAACAATGATAAAAAAAAAAGTATAAGATGCTTCATGAAAAATGATCAAAGATATTTCCATGTATATGGCTTTGTTTACTTTTAAATGTATAAGTTAAAATAATTTACTGCCAGTAATCCATGACAACATTATTTTATTGGAATACAGTGGAGAACAAATGTTTGCATTGCCTTTATGAATAAATAACTTGGTTCATTATTTTATCTAATGGCAGTTGCAGGATTAAAAGGAGAAGTTAGGAAAGTAAGCAATAAACACTGCTATGTTCGTAAATAAAGCAACTCTGCAGGGAAAAAAGCAAAACAAAACAAAACAAACCAACAACAAACAGAAAGAATCCTTCCCTGACCTTCTCAAAAAAATCTGAAACTGAAAATATTTCCAAGCATATAATGGCTGGCTAGCAGTAAGGAAGGCTCTTTTCCACAACTCCTGTTTACTTTGCCTGGGTCAGCACCTTGGTATTAACATCAAAAAAGCAGGATGGAATGTAGGGATCAGTGGATGGACACAACTTCGAGAGATGCTGGTAGGTGTTCGAACAAACAAGGGCAGACTGTGTTCCAGTGACAGCAGGATGTGCTGAAGAGTTTAGGCTTACATGCATCCACGTTATAGTTCCAACCCTGTTGTCTCCTTACTGTGTACCCAGGGGAACGGGCAGTAGGAATGTCTGGAAGCCCCATAACCAACCCCGGAATCCTAGAAGGAAATGTCTTGCAGATGGCAGGGACAGATGGTCCTGGTGTGTCTGCATTTTGGAAACAAGGGCTGCCACCTTGAAATCCATGATATAGAGGAACCACCAGAGTGTTTCGCTAGGAGGGATATCAAAGTAATAAAGGGTATTACTTGCACATCCTTTACCTTAATAGTGAGGATAAAGAGCATCATCATTTTCCAGAAAACAAGCGAACAAAAACTGAGGGTAAACTGGGGAATTCACAGTTAGAAAATAATTTGGAAAGAGTGTCCTAAGAGATACGAAAAGAACACAAAACCAAAGCTGTTGCCAACCAATGACTAATTATAGCTGACAAGAGAGCAGATACACCTGCAACGCGGTGAGTGCTCTGTGCAGGTGCCGGCAGATACCCCTGACCATCTCGAGACACAGCTCCGGGAGTCGGGCCCCTTTACAAAGCTCCTCCTCAGCAGCTGCCTTCCAGCTTGCGACCCCCTGCCAGCCTGCCAGTGGCCAGCCCCCAAGACGCCTGCAGCAGAAAAGCAGGCACAGAGCTAGCCAGCGAGTGTCTGAAGAAAAAGCCTGCAGGAGACCTGAGTTCTTTTTAGAGACCAGGGCGGTGGGGGATGAGGCTAGGAAATACTCAAGGTCAGCTTTAATACCATGAATAAGTAAAAATAAATGGATTTGCTTTCCTCACAGGCAAATATCAC